CAGCAAAGTAGCCGCATGCTGGGTTAGTGCATGAGGGAGGATGTGAGAGACAAGCAGAGAAACGATCTGTGAAGGCCAAGGGGGATGGGACGTTCGTTGAGGGTGGAGGGAGGAGGTAGGGGGCAAGAAGAAGTTTTTTCACCTGATAGAGGTGGAAGATGTTCACTGAAAGTTCTTCGATGGTCGAGAAGTCCATGAGACTTCTTACTAGCGGGTCGAGCGGCCCCTCAGATTGCGCCATTGTGATCATGCCGAGCTGTATGCGAGTCAAACCATCTTGAGGAGGAGGAGGAGGAGGAAGAAGAGCAGGAGCAGGAGCAGGAGCAGGGGAAGGAGAGGAGGAGGCGCAGAAGGAGGGGCAGGAGGAGGGGAGCAGGAGCAGGAGGGGGAGCAGGAGGAGGAGGAGGAAGAAGAAGGTTTTGAGGTGATAGAGCTTAGGATGGAAACAAAGCAAGCAAGCAATGGAGGAACGAAGACAATAAAAAGAGAAGGCTGATGGACAACAGGAAGACGAGTGAGATCGAGCAGGAGAAGGAGAAGGAGGGGGAGAAGGGAGAAGAAGTAGGAGGGGAACAGGAAGGAGGAGAAGGTGAAGGTGGAGGGGAAGAAGAAGCAAGTGGAGGAGGAGGAGAGGGAGAAGGGGAAGGAGATCAACAAGAAGGAGAAGCTGTCGCTCACATTCTTTCTCTCTTCTTCCTCCCTCTTCTTGTTCTTCTCTCGCTCGACCGTCGATATGAACTCATCCAAAAGCACCGCCACGACAATATTCATCAGCACCTAAAAGAGATTGAGAACCCGATCATGCAAACTTATTCAACTCCTCCTCCTCCTCGTCCTCGTCCTCGTCCTCATCCTCCTCCTCGTCCTCGTCCTCGTCCTCGTCCTCCTCGTCCTCCTCGTCCTCCTCCTCAACCCTCACCCCCTCGATGCCCATGACTCACCACATTGACTATGAGCATGTAGCAAACGAAGAAGATGCCAACCTGCCATGTCTCATCATACGAAGAGAAAGCAAAAGAGCTGCGAGGCGGAGAGAAGAGGAGGAGAATGGCAGATGGAAAAAGAGAAAGAGACGGGGAGGGAGAAACAGAGAAGGGAGAAGGATGCAAGAGAAAGTAGGGGGGAAGAGGGAAAGGAGGGGAAGCAAATAAAATAGGAGAAGATCGGAGGAATGGAGGGAGGAAGGAAGAGGGAGGGAGGGAGGGAGGGAGGGAGGGAGGGGGGGAGGGAGGGAGGGGGGGAGGGAGGGAGGGAGGGATGGAGGGAGGGAGGGAGGGAGGGAGTCCCACCCAGGCATTTCTTCTATGATTTTCGGTGTAGAGGGAACGGGTGACGGCAGAGGCCCAGGAGTCTCCCGTGGCCATTTGAAAGAGGGTGAAGAGAGACTTGAAGAAGGAGCCGAAGAACTCCTCGTTCAAGTCCCCGAAGAAGTCCGTCGCCATGATGGCGAAGATGGCGGCAACGAGCAGAAGGATGCAGAAGGCGTTGATGACGGGGATGACTGTAGAAAGAAGGTGAGAAAGAGGAGCAGGAGCAGGAGGCAGGGAGGGAGGAGTGAGGAGAACGAGGAAGGAGGAGGGAGGAGGTAGGAGTAAGGGAGGAGGGAAGAATGAGGGAAAGGAGAGGCGAGAGGGAGGAGGATGGGAGAGGAAAAGGGGAGGGAGAATTTATGTGTTGCGCAGGAGCAGGTATTGACCTGAACGCGACAAGGCATTGATGAGGACGCGGAAGGAATTGAGCATCCTAGCGGACTTGTCAGGAGAGTTGACCCATGGCTGCGAGGGTGAAGGAGAAGGAGAGAAGAAAACCTGAAGATTCGAATCATCTTGAAGATTCGGATCAATCGCAGCGAGTTGATGGCTGGGAGACTTTGTACGACCTCCGACAAGAGTGTGATGACCACAACGACGAAGTCTGCCAAACATTGAATATCTCATCCTCATCCTCATCCTCATCCTCATCCTCATCACCATCTCTTATCGTGAGTCACCCCTCTGAACTCTCCAAAGATTCCAGCTGCCTCATCTCATCTCATCTCATCTCATCTCATCTCATCTCATCTCATCTCATCTCATCTCATCTCATCTCATCTCATCTCATCCCATCTCATCCCATCTCATCTCATCTCATCTCACCTAGATCGTTCCAACCGTCCTTGACAAACGGCCAAAACCAGTTGCTCAACAGGTTCATACACAGCTCCTGCACTCTCCCAGTCAACCACCAACGCCCCAGCTCCCTCCCAGCTCCAGCTCACCACAGTGAAGATGACAAGATACGTGGTCTCCAGGCCGTTGAAAAACTTCCCGGTCGGCGAGTTGGGGTCGACCTTAGTTTCAGCTGATATGATTGCTGTGATGAAGGAGGCTAGGATGACGAGGGAGAAGAAGATCTGGAGAGGAAGGCTCGAGAAGACTTCCTTGGTCTTCCGCTGCACCCGCTGAAATCTTGTCTCCGACTGCCTCGTCTTCATCCTCACATACGTCTTGGTCCCTTGCTGGATCGCAGTGATCTGCCAGGCTGTGAGCAGAGCGAGAAGAGCGGAGGACGAGGACAAACGGAGGGAGAGAGGGAACAAGAGAAGGGGAGGGAGGTGTCAAATTTGCTCACCCATCTCATGCTCTCCTCAAGGCTGCTCGCAAGAAACACCGTCGACCTCCCTGAGTTGTGTCCTCCAGGGGCCGTAATAATCACGAAGATTCCACTTTCACCGTCCTCCTGCCGTCCTCGTCAGGCTGGGAGCTTGCAACGGGACAAGCTCACGTCCTCCATCTTGAACGTAGAGGCTCGCCTTAGGCTGCCTCGTGTGGACGGGTTTTGCTTCAGACTCTCCACCTTGATCTCGTCCGCGGGCTGCTTGCTTTGCACGACATCGAGGATTTCATCCAGGGGAATGTAGTCGATGACGTTGGCACTCCCGGGCCTCCCAATCATCAACTTGCTGCTGGACAGAACAACCTTCCTCGACTGCCAGGTGTCGCCGAGGGAGCTGCGGGACTTTCAGCATGGCGCAAGTTGCACGTCAACTCGGCGTACCTCATAACCTGCCGCTGTAACTCCCCGACCATGATCACGTCCTCGTCGCTGGGAAACATCTCGACATCGTACACCTCAGCCTCCTTCGCACGACGCCGGCCTCTCCTCGTCCCTATATACGCAGCAGCCATTCTCCTCCCAGTTGATTTCACGCAGCACTCTGTTCTCGCTTTAGTTCAGTTTCTTCATGGACACTGCCGATCTGCCCGCACTTGGCAACACTGTAAGACGAAACAACCATCAATGAATGCACAATGCGAGAAGAGAAAATTAATCTATATCTTGCGGTTCTAGCGCCCATGAATATCGATATGTTCGAAGACTCTTTCTCGTCATTGTATTCTATTACTCCATCTATGATCAACTCATACGTGTGATATCATTGGCCATACAGCAGTAAGCACAGCAGGGGATCGAGGGAGAGGAAAAACATCTAAAGTTGAAATAAAGGAAAATCGATCGAGGTGCAATGGCGCTTCATCTCAAATCAGACAACTCCAACATGCTGACAAAAAGCGTCACGGAGTCCGTGAATTGACTGGAACTTCACATTCATCCTGCCCATGAACAACTCTGGAGACAGAAACCTGATGAGCAGAAGGTGAGGGAACAGAGGACTATCATGAGGGAGGATTCTGCGCGACATGCGGTGGTGCCGCGTCAATCGATGCCCTCCTTGTAAAGTGCATTTCATGCACACTCATCGAACGATACTTGATACCACCCCACCCCCTAGACCTTCCACCTCCCCGTTCTGTGACACCATCTCCCTACTCAGAACCTACCCCACCCTCCAATTCTCTATCTCATAACCCCTACTTTGAACACACCCTGTGACTACCCCACCCTACCTCCTCCGTCAAACAGTACCCCACCCCCCATTCTCAAAAAGTTATCTTCTCACTTTACGTGTATACCCTGTACGACCAACCCCGGCAAGATGTCACTAGTACCGGTGTCATCAGGGGCAAATCAGGGGGTCCTGTCGGATCCTCAGTCAACAATTTACTCTCTGGGAAGTTAACAGGTAGTGACCCCTTGGGCAAAAGTGGAGTGAAAACATGTGGAAATTGGGGGTGGTCGAACATGAACCGAACAGTTGAACGGAGGGGGGTCCATCGGTTGGTACGGTGGCCCCCCCCCGGCAAGTTCAGTACTGGCTGCTGTATCTTTTGTTTACTCAAAGTTAAGTTAAAAATCAGTGTGGCTGCTGAGTGCTCCGAGCGGCTCAGGGCCCGGGGACTCGGAGGCTCAGGCTCGTACTCAGTTTGCGCGTCACAGTGACGACTCCGGCGGCCTGGCGGCCCGCCGGGCGCCGGACAGACCAGACTGGCCGGGGCACCGAGCGTGATCGTGTCGAACAGTGACTCATCAGGCCCGGCCTCTGCTCGCCGTACCGGCGTGACAAAGTCACTGGCATCAGTGGGCACAGTGGGCACTGCCCGGCCGCAGGCTCAGCTGCACCGGGCCGGCGCGCCGGGATTGGTTAGCTGTGAAGGTTAGGAGTTGCTAGCTACGAAGTTTCCACTGGGCGCATGTCCGTATCAGATGCCGCAAGGCGGAGGAGAGGGCGAGGAAGAAGAAGAGAGGAGGGAGGAGGGAGGAGGAGGGAAGTAAGTAAGTAAGAAGAAAGTTTCGGATGCAAACTCTTCGTAAGACGAAGAAATTCCCACAAGACCACAGCACAAACCACATGTCTAGCGACCGAGACACGCGGAATGATCAAGGAAGTCGTGAGGATCCAGAGGCAGAGCTGAGATGAAACGGTTTCATCTCTTGTGCACGACAGGGTTGCTGAGGTACCGCCGTCCAGTACCCCGCATCTCAATGTGTTATGCTTTGACACGATTACCAGGTGCAACTCTACATGGAGTCTGTTTCCCTTCTTTGTGATCGTCCTCAGCAACATCGATTGCTTTGACGTTCAATCTGACCATCCTGCATGGTTGCACGCTCCAGTAGCTGCCCATGGATTGTTGTCTTTGAGAGCGCAACGGCTAAGAGGAGGGTCGGGTCAGCCCGGCAGACGATACTTCGGGCACATAGACGAGCTGAATGATGGCAAAGATGCGCAGGAGCTGTCAGAGCATGAGGAAGAGGAATCGTCAGGATTCAAAGAGGCGTTGGAGTACTGGAAGAAGTCCGACCTTCGGGTCATGGCCTGGGGGATAGGGATCGAAGGGAGGATGGGGGATGGGACCCATCGGGACAGCTACAGGCCGAGGTGCACGCTGGTCAATGGGAGTGTGCTGCAGGTGATGCGATACCTTGCCCTCCCTGTCTTCAACCGCTGTGAGCTCAACTCGGACCCGCAGGTTTCTGCAGGAGACTTTCACTCGTTGGCGTTGAAGAAGGACGGCAGTGTAGTGTCCTGGTACGTCCTAGCACGATGGGGATGAAGCATCTCTTGATGACGCTGTTGATGGTAGGGGGAGCAACTTGCAAGGGCAGCTGGGGGACGCAACTTTCAACTACAGCGCTGTGCCTCGTGAAGTATGGAGACGAGCTTCCCCACCTACGAAGTTGACTGAGTAGACTGAGGTGGTGGTGGCAGGTTGTGGGACTGGATTCCTCCATCGTGATGGTGGCAGGCGGAGGAGCTCACTCTCTCGCACTCTCTTGTGATGGGTGTGTCTACGCGTGGGGAGCCAACACGTCAGGACAGGCGAGCGAGATGCTTTCTCGGCTGAGTGTGACGACCTTCGGCCCAGGTGGGACAAACGATCTTTGGCGAGAATGTCAAGGGAGGAAGAGGACGTCAAGGAGGAGCTGTTGAGGCAGAGCTCAGTGTCGAGGACGCCTTCACGATAAGATATGCGCCCAGCGACGAGGTTCGAGAACTGAGCGACATGGCGGTGAAATGGTCAATGTGACGTCTGTTCACAGATACCTGTCCCCGTGATCCCGAAGCTGCTCTCAGAAGGAGTCATGCAGGTTGCAGCAGGTAACCGACACTCCCTCGCACTCATGGCAGACGGGCGAGTCTTCGCATGGGGCCAGAACGTCTTCGGGCAGCTGGGGATCGGAAAGAACTTCACTCGTCCGGAAGGGATGGTGGAGCAGGACGAGGAAAATCCGACGGGAGTGAAGTGGCGCCCCTACATCTTCGAGAGTCTGCCGATGCGAGTCCGATTCCCTCGGAATCTCCGAGCGCCGGTAGAGGAGGAGTGGAGTAGAGGAGCCAAGAGGATAAGGAGGACGCGGGGGAGTGGGGGTGGACTTGGAGGAAGAGCACGGCGGGTGGAGGAGGGAGGTAGTGATGGGTGAGAGGAGATAGAGAGGACGACTTCACTACCTCCTTCCTGGCTCATAACTTGTTCTTGGACCTCCAAGGTGATCTCGGTAGCAGCTGGAGGGTCGCACTCTCTCGCTCTGCTGCAGGATGGGACGGTACGAAGACCCCAGCTGACCTCGATCAGGGGACGGGGATTGACGATTGAGGGACAGGTCATGTCCTGGGGAAGCAACGACCATGGGCAGCTTGGAAACGGCAAGTTCACGGCCCTGCTGGGGATGGGAGAGTGGCACGACGCCCTTATCCCCACAGAGAGTCTGGTGAGGGAGGAGGTGGTGGATGTGTGTGCTGGGTACCAGCACTCCCTGGCGCTTCTCAAGGATGGGAGAGTGATGGCGTGGGGATCCAACGAGGTGAAACATGCTGAATTCTGTTGAGCCTGTCTACTCTCCCCTGCCTTCCCCCTCTCCTCCAGCTGCTGCTCTCCGACTCGCTCTCCATCCCTCCTTCCTCCCTCTCCTCCATCCTAACCCTGATCTCTCCTTCCTCCCTCTCCTCCATCCTAACCCTGATCTCTCCTTCACATCCTCAGGCGGGGCAGCTGGGTGTGGACGACGAGCACGAGGTCCTGTCCTCTTCGTCCCTTTCTCCTTGTGATTTAGAGGCAGGACATCTGGATGCACTGCAACGGAGTCACTTTCAGCCCTCGCCCGGTCCTCGTCCAAGGGCTTCCGGCCCGCGTTGTGCAGGTGGCCGCGGGTTTCGCTTCCTCCTTGGCGGTGCTGGAGGATGGGAGGGTGTTCTCGTGGGGAGCCAACTACGACGGTCAACTGGGGAACGGGAGCAGGTCAGAGCAGCCGAGGTTTCCCCTCAAGATCCCCTCCATCCCGAAAGGACAAGTCACCGACTTCCAGCCTCTCACCGCAACCAACAGCATCAAGATACCAGGCTCATCTCGTCCTCAGCCCGTGCTGGACATTTTCCATCCCCCAGAGGAAATTCCTCCCCCCAGCCGGTTGGTGGTACGGGCAGACGCCGGCAGCAGCCATTGCGTCGCGCTGGTACCGGCAGAGCTCCTGTCGGCCCTGGGAGACAAGGCGGGGAGAGGTCCCGAGGAGTATGACTGGGACGAGGCGATGCGGTTGGAGGAGACTTTACTGGACATGTATGACTCCTTTCCGGACAACTGGATCAACGCCTCCGAGCTCAAGAAACGGTGGGGTAAACGCTCCTGCTGCCCTTCCCACCTCCCCGTCCCCTCCCGCCCCCAATTGCGTATTCCTCTCCTCCTGATGCTTCTTTGCCTTGCCCTTGCGTCACCTCTCCTTCTTGTGCTTGCCTCTGGGTACTCTACCTCATCTTCCCTCTAGCTCCTCCTGTCCCCTCTCTGCTCAGGCGTATTCTTGCTTCCTTCCCCCCCGTCACTGTGCCCCAGATTCCCAAAGTTCGACTTCGAGCCGGGCGAGCTCAGACCTGCAGATCATATCGACTGCTTCGAGACCATCCGATGGGGGCCCGAGAAAACTGCGGGAGACTGGCGGGTGAGCGAGAAGAGATGGAGACGGGCAGGGGCAGGAGCAGAGGCTGAGTAGAGAAAAGGGGCTGCGTAGGCGCAGGGGCAGGGAGAGGAGGAGGAGGAGGAGCAGTAGCAGCAAGAGTTTTGTTGTTGACTTTACACCTGACGCATCCGCAGATTGAAATTCTTCCAAATCTTGACATTGTCGAAGAGGAAGACTCAACCGAACCCAACATCACCTACACAAGTAAGTAGCTTCTGCCAAGCTTTGAAGTGAGGCAGCAGGAGGCAAGAGGAAGTGAAGTGAAGATGTAGATGAGAAGGATAGAGGAAAAGGAGCGAGAACGAGATGGAGGAGGAGAGAATGGAAAGGAGGCGGCTGAGAGAGGCAAAGTTACCCTCTAACAAGAATCCCAGCTTTCAAATGGAAGAACATCACGAAGGAGGAGGCGGAGAGAGCTCGCATGAAATTTCCCCAACAATATCGACTGGGCTACGGCACCTCTGCTCCTCCTCCTGAGATGGTACAGGAGTTCCTCGATGCGGCGAGGGCCGCGTGCGACCGGCGGCAGCAATCGACGTTGACAGGAGGGTCCAAGGAGTACAAGGAGCTGCAAGACGAAATCCGCGGCCTGATCCTCAAGTTGTGCCGGGACTACTGGAGGCGAGCGGCAAACAACGCGGCGGAAGACTTCGAGATGGACCTCGGAGAAGGGAAGTTCGAGGAGGCGAGGCAGTGGGCAAGGGAGGAGAGAGATGCATGGAGGAAGCTGGCCATATGGGAGGATAGGAGCGTTGAGAAGTGGGGGGAGTGGGAGCAATTCAGGATGTTCCAGGATGCTGAGGATGAGCCGGGAAGAGCGTGCGAGGCAAAGTTGAAGCGGGTGGATCAGTCAAAGGAGGAGCTCAAGATCCAGGAGGAGGAGGAGGAGGCCAAGAAGCTGGAAGAGCAGGAAAAGGCTTCAAAGCATTTTTGTCTTCGGTGAGGACGAAAGATCTCGACGGCTGCGCACTGACTGCAAGGAAGCATTGAAGGCGACAAGTTGAAGATCAACTTGCCCAAGTACAAACCCACAGACCCCATCCTCCGCAAATCCATTAGGTACGCAACCGCTCTCCACTTCCTCCCTCGCTCCCCTGCTTCTTCCTTCCTCCCCCCCCCCTCCTCCTCCCTCCTGCTCGGCCCATTGACTGTCTGAGAGCAGCGGGAACCCGCTGGGCACGACGACGGTGAAACTGCTCGAGGCAAACATGATGCTGAACGATTGCGTGTAGATGTATGTCCCTGCAGGATCCTCGTGCGAGTGGTTCATAAGGAGAGTGAGGCGGGTGATACAGGACGAGGGCGCGAAGGTGTTCTTGAACGGCAGGCTCCTCCTTCCCGACAACGAAGACTTCAAGTACATCACCGAGATGAGGTACGAGAGGGAGCTCGACCGGCCGCACTTCGACGAGCCGGGGCCCTTCAACTTCACCATCCTCAGCCTCAAGTGGTTGAGGAGGATGGGCGTAATGGGGGACGGGGTATCCCGCTCGCAGGACGTCTGGGTCGACTGCATCGAGCCCTGCCATGCTCACTTCGAAGGAGGGTCACTGGTGCAGCTTCACGGGTACAACTTCGACAATGAGAGCGTCTGGCATGTTCTCCTGGGCTCCATCGAAGAGGCAAGTCCACCGTTTGCTCGCTTCCTCTTTACTGTTCGTTTCCTGCCCAGATCGCCTCCTCCTCCGGCCGACCGCAAACCTTCCAGGTCCCCCCCCCTGCGTCCTCCCAGCCTCTCTCCTCATCCTCCTCCAGAGACTTTGTTTTGCTACCTCCAAGACCCTAGTGTGGAGGACGGAAGCCCACCAAGAGGCAAGCAGGACCCCTCCCTCGCTCCCTTCTCACCTCAACCCAGGGGTGGGTCGATGTGCAAGTGTTCAGGAACGGGAAGAGAGTAGCATACATAGAGCAAGGTTGGGAGGACAAGAGTCTCTCTGCTCGCACGTGAACTCAGTGCGCAGGCCTTGAGTTCATCGACCAGGATGACGTCAACAAGTACTCCCTTCCCATCCCCGTCCGGTCCTATCACCCAGCAGCATGGGGACCGAATGAGTCACACTGGTCGCAGGTACCTCGGATCCTCCCTCGACCTTCGCGCTCGTCTGGTGCTGGAGGCCAGGGCTGAAGTGCTCAACTTCGTGGTCAAGTCCGTCCTCGACTCCCCTGCCAACCCACCCACGGCTGACTGCCTGTAGCTACCGGTACTGCATGCTCACGATGGGCAAGGAGGAGTACAAGCGATCCATCTCCTCTCGGTCTTGTTGGTCGTCTTGCCGTGCCCCCTGTGCTGATCGACTTGCTCAGCCTCTGGGAGCTCCTCTACGTCGACCCTAGCTGCAAGGATAGCTGGGCCTTTGTTGGCAGGTTGTGCAGGTTGATCTTGGGCGACGAGGCCCTTGCGCAGAGGCAAGGAGGAGCTCTGAAGGTGTTCGCTCCTTACCCGATCACGCAGGGCGGAAGAAGAGTGCGGAGTAGACTTCCATCTTCCTCCGGACCTGGATCCGGACAAGATCAAGCTGAGCGACTTTGAAGACATCGTGAAGGTCAGAGCCCCCAGCTCGCTTCCTGCTCCCCTCTAGCTCACTCGCTCTCCTTCAGGAGTTCTTGTGCTGCCTGCCAGAAGAGATGGCGGACAAGATTCACGTCAAGAACATGGTAAATAGCGCAAAGGCTCTTTCTCGCACTCACAACAAGGTTCAGCCCCACCCCATGTTCCCAAAGGACAACAAGACATCCAGGTGACACCACGCATCTGATGTGTTCCTCTCCTGACGAGGAGGCTGTGACGGTCAGGAGGGACACAGAGCAGAAGCGCACAGAAGCCGAGGAGGAGAGTGAAGATGAAGAAGATTCTGATGATTCGTAAGCTTTTCAACTACCCTCCCATCGCTGACAATTCCTCGCAAGCTTGAAAGATCACTGGGACTTCGAGCATAACTTGCCTCTCCCACAGCTGCCGTTCGAGGACGAGCCAGAGTCGGTGACTTCAGATTGAAGCAGCACTCTGAAGAATAATGAAATGTACGGGAGAGGGAAGATGTCAGGGAATGTGAGGAAAAACAAAAATGCAGTACAAACAATCATTCATTATTTAGCTTAGTTTACATCTACTTCTCACAAGTTAAAATCAAATCACTTCTCCGGAGACCAGTTCGCTTGGATGTACTTGTCGAACTCCTCGCAGTTCTCGTCATCGCTGGAGTCTTGCATAACAAGGGATGCTAGCCTGTTCTTGAGCGCGTTCATCTCCAGGGTGTTCTTGGAGACCGGGCGCACAGCCTTCAACCCGATCGATCCTCGGTTCTTGGTGCTCCGAAGCATAGGCGCAGAGGAGTCCTTGAGCGCCTGGTTGGTGCCATCGCCCTTGAAGCCTCCAGCCTCGCTCCCGTCCGAGGATCTGAAGTCCTTGCTAGAATCGGCTGAAGCCCCTTGGAACTGCTCTTCTTGGATGGCTTCCTCAAAGAACAGCGCGAGGTTCTGCTTCGAAGAGACAGGAGAAATGCATGGAGAAGCCCCAAAGAAATCATCGAAAACATTCTTTGTTGCGGACATTTTCGGTTCGCCCTGAGAAACTTTTGAGTCTAGCTGCTCCGTCTTTCCTGCTTTTCCAGTACTGGTGCTCGGCTCCGGCTTTCTCCTTCACTCTGTTTCACTCTGTGTGTCCTCCTGTAAGTATGGTTCAACGCTCAAGTCTGAGATTCCTTTGCTCTGGTTGACGCGTCTCTCTCGCTCGCGCTGGTCGTCTGCCACTTGCTTGCTTTTGCTCCTGGCTCTGCTTGTTTTATAGAGGAACCGGAGGGGGGCTATGACCACCGGTCTACCTCAGCCGCACGCGTACATAAATGAAGGGGTAGGGTAATATGGAGGGAATTTCCCATCTAAAGCTTTTTACGGTGGGGTAGTATGTCAGAGGGGGGTGGTATCCGAGAACATCTAGAAATTTCTGGGTGAAGGAGACGGTAGGGTAGGAAGGACATGGAGAGATGTGGGGTTCTTTCATAGAGAAAACGGTGGTAGGGGTACCATAAACTTGAATCATTGTATGGGTAGTGTGCCTTGAAAGTTACGAGATGGGTGGGTGGTATCCTACACACGGGTGGGGCGTGAAAGGGGGCAGAAGGAATCACGTTACCAGACGCAGGGAAATTAAAACTCTTTTAACTCATTTCAAGGTCAGGGAATTTTTGATAATTTAGTTTCAAATTTGAGAGGGCAGGAAAGAGGAAAAATTGTAAATCGATACGGAGCGTTTGGCCTGAAACGTTCGGGTTTATGATCTCTTGCTTGCTACATTGTTTTAAATTTTAGAAGTCCTCATTTGCGACTGAGTACCGGTGGTTTTATGCCCTGATGATAGTACCACCCTGAATGTATCAAAAAAAGAAATGTCAGCAAAGGGTCGAAACTGAAAAAAAGGATTACACCTGGATTTAAGGGGAGGGATGTGGAGAAGGGGGTGATCAGAGTCTGTTTTGATGGGATTTTTATGGGTGGGATAAACGTAACCACCGGTAGACTCTAGAAACACCTTGGCTTCCGTCTGTTAAATTACTACCCCTTCTTTTCACCGTTTTAGGTATGTACCGGTCCATCGACCTCAGCTTGTCACAGATCTGGTCTGTGATTACAGCATGTCGCCTAATGGCGCGGCAGACTATGACCGGTACTTTTGACTTCAAAAGGTATGATGGGGTCATTCTATCCCGTCCTGGTACAAGGGGATCACTGACCCTCAGATTCGAAACGTTTCGATTTTGACTCTTGCCCTAACTTAAAATGGACATTTTTCCTTAATGACAAGCCTGGGGGCGGGCCGCCACCGAGTCCGGGAGTCCGACGACTCGACTCGACTCGCTGAGTCGGTCTCGGACAACGCCGCGCCGCCACCGTACCGCCCGGCCCAGCGGGCGCCGGGCCCGCAGTGACTTAGGTGGCTAACTCACCGTGCGGTTTATCAGACCGTACCGTGATTGTCCTCGTACTGCTTTTTAACTTAACTTTGAGTAAAGTCCTACCGTACGGTAAGTCTTTCAGTAAAGAAGTCCTGGCACCGCGCCGGCCAGAGTCGAGTCCGGGAACGGGCCGCGGCCCGGCATCATGCCGGCGATGAGCCGCCCGCAACCGTGACGCAGCCTCGCCTCCGCCAGCCGCTTTATCAACTCGAGCTTTTGAACTCGGGATCCTACCGAGAGGTAGATTTTATTGTGACTAACATACGATATTCTTACTGATAGCAATGGTACTCTCACGTTTATATGGGGTGGAAAATTCCACTCACCGTGGCACTCTATATATTTTATTTCAACTTACCGTCATTTTAGCTAAGATCGTAGCATCACCAAGAGGTCTGGTGGAGGTAGAAGTGCATTGACTGCGCTCGCTTGATCTTGTACAGTCGATGCATCTGCACGTACTGGCGGTAGAGCAAGGCGTCCTGCACCTGGATCTCCCCGATGATCGACACGTCCTCCTCGCTGCAGTAGGAGACGTAGAGCTTCAAGTCGCGATACCCGTGCTCTACCTCCTCCTCCCTGAACCGATTCTTCACCCTCCTCACCCGCACGCCAAACCTTCCCTCCTGCTCCATGAACCAGCGTGCTACCTGGACAATCTGGCTGGTCCCATGGCAGACAACGGAGAGGCGGACGGGGTCGAGGATGTTGGCAGTGAGCGGCCACCTTGACTTGCGGTTCGGAGGAGCGTACTCGCGGAGCTTCTCTGCCATGCGGGAGCAGGTCTTGGGACGGGCCAGGTGGATTTGAACTTCACCTGCCCCCTCCTCGAAGTCGCAATTCAGGATCACCCGCGAGCCTCGCAGGGTGGCGGAGGAGGAGATCGAGAAGGGGGAGGAGCAGTGCAAGGAAAGAACGTCGATGACGGCTCGATGGAAGGAGAGGTTGAGCAGCTGGGCTCGAGCTCGGAGCTGGGTAATGAAGACGCCTTCGTCGAGGCAGTGCAGGTTGCCGCTTCTTCTCATTCTCTGGAAGAGAAACTGTGCGTTCACCCGCTCCCCATCGTCGATGCGGATGGCTCGGACCTGTAGAAGTGTGAAGAAAGGACGAGGGAGGGAGGGAGGGAGGGAGGGAGGGAGGGAGGGAGGGAGGGAGGGAAGAGGAAGATCGGAGCGAGGCAGGAAGGGATCAGAGGGAGAGATAGGAGGGAGGGAAGGGAGGGAGGGAAGAGGAAGGAAGGAGAGGGGGTGAGTGAAGGAGGTGAGGGGCATTCAGGAGGGCTCACGTCATCGTCATCTTGTCTCAACAGCCCCATGTCTTTCTGAGCATGAGACTCGAAGGAGCAGTATCGGTACCAGGCTCTGTCGCTGGTCGGACAGTCTACAGGTCAGTGGCAGAAGAATAGCTTCATCGTACTTGCCTATCCCTTGCAACGTCGCTCCGCAGCTCGCCGTCGTCCTCGCTCGCATACGGCTGCTGCCCTCCTATCTCATCATCCTGTTGCTGACCGTGGTGCATGTCTTGCAGGCCCAGCAGCACCTGCATACTCTCCTCCTCGTAGAGCTGCTTGCATCGCTCCTCGCAGTCATGCGCCGACTCGTCCATGAGCTCCATGGCGAGGGATCGCAGGCGATCGAACAGATTGGGATCCTCCCGCCACACGTTGAGAATCGCCACCTTCCTCTTGAAGTACGCATGCCGCTGATACCGCTCGTCCGTCGCCTTCGCCTCTGCTGCAGATACCACCGTTGACCACTTGCGGGTCGCTGCATGAGGGGACACGCGGCGCAAAAGGCCTTTTTTGCTCCAGCCTGAAGGGAAGGAGCTGGAGGGAGACGCCTGAAGCAGAGCCCTGCAGATCCCCAGCAGCCAGTGGCAGAACTTCTCGTACTGCTCTCGAGCCTCGTCCCTCCTCTCTTGCACCTTGCGCGACGTCGTCAGGCCGAGGCAGAAGCTACTGAGGAAGTAGTCGTCCACATCATCCTGGAACAGAGCCAGTCGACCCGCCGCCTCCAGCGACTCCTTGGGGATGATGACGACCGACTGCCGGTCGACCCAGGGGAGGAGCCTCTCGTTGGTGAGGTAGAACCCATCCTTCCTCTCGATGCTCAGCCTCTTCCTCAGATCGCTGACGCTTTGCTCCAGCAGCTTCTCCTCCGGCGCCGCCATCCACACCCGCACTATCCTCCAACATTTGAGGAGGAGCAGGCAGAGGGCCAGCACCGGGATGACGATGGAGACCAAGAGAACAGACAGACGGATGCAGCCCCCGTTCACCATCACCATCTCCGGAGGGCAGTGGTTGCATTCCTGGAGTTGAGACCTGCCCTGTCCGTCGGTGAGCAGGGGAGAGGGGCAGGGCAACGGCATCGAGCTCCCTGCGGGGCAGAAGCAGTTCTTGGGGCAAGGGAAGGCGGGGTTCGTTCCTCCTTCACAGAAGAAGCCAGGGCTACACTGCTCGCACTTGCCCAGGGTCACGTCTGCCGCCTGCCCAGCAGGGCAGATAGCGGGGATCCAGGCCTTCCAGCGGTCGGGGTTGGCGAGGACCCAGGAGCAAGCGACGTTCCACATCGCCTCGTATACAGAGAGGCCGGAGCCTCTCGTCTTTCCGCTCGCGTCCATGAGGTCATTCATCTCCTGATCGAAGAAATTCATCCTGGTAGCCAGGAAGCTAACGTGCCTGTCCACAGTCTGCAGCTTCTTCCAGCAGTAGCTCCTGGGGTTCACGTGGGCCAACCCAGTCTTGTAGATCCTCATGTTGTGCTCCAGCTGGTTGGTGTCGGGCAGCCGCAGCATGACTGGCACCTTGCTCCCGAGGCCCCGCAGGTTGTCGTCGGGCGTGTACCATCCGAAGAAGTAGTTCCCTCCCCTGACGACCTCATAGTACTTCTGGTCGAACTCCGGGCTGCCGTCCCGCATCTTGACGATGGCGATGGAGAAGTTGAGGAAGAAGGCGAGCTGCATGTGCACGTGCACCTCGTACTGGGTCACCATGGGGATGCACCTCGAAACGTTTCCCAGCAACCTGCATGCCGGCGACAGCCACACCTTGTCATCCACACAGTCCACCTGCGTGTTGCCAGTCTGAGTGATATAGTTGGCGGTGTCTCGGAAGTTGTTGTACGTCCCCGTGTCCTGGTCGCTGCACCGCTCGATGTAGTCGACGGGAACCTTGTCCAGCAGCTGCTCAAGACTGTCGAAGTACCCCGAGGGATCATAGTACTTGGCGTTGTAGTAGCGGTAATAGTCCAGGGCAAGGTCCTTGGCCGCTCCCTGGTCTACAGTGCTCTTCCACACGAAGATCTGGTTGACGGTCTCGTAGTTGAGCACAGACACGAGGGTCGGCTGGACTTGAGCAGGGAGGTCGTACACCCTCCTCATCCCTAGACTCCAAGTCTCAATGGTGCAGTGGATCAAAGGGTTGTCGATGTCCCCGCCCTTGCATGCTGCATCGTCAGGGTCGCGGCATCCGGACGCGTAGTTGATGGGCTGACCCGAGTTGATGCCTGCTCCATCCCACAGGTCCACCGCATACCCCATCACCTCTGCCAGCATGATATAAGCGATCTCTGACAAGATGCGTGCGGAAGCCCACGAAGCATAGGGGAGGCTGATGTTGACGAGCCTGCCATCAGGGTAGTGGAGGAACCTCATGGATGAGTTGTAAGACCCGAACGATGAAAGCTGTGGCGAATCGCGTGCGAGGCAGCGTTTGGGGTGTGGGACCTTGGTGAACATGTTGGCACACCATACCGATGTGACGCAACATATCGCAAGGAGGATGCACCCAAGAGACCTCATGATGCAAGTTTCTCCTTCTCACATGTAGAAGACAAGTCCTCACCCGTTCTGTGCGCTCCCGAGCTCCTCGTTCCCCTCCAAAAGCTTATTCCCCAAGTTTCCACCAGCCTAGCACATCCAATCGGACCGTGGCATGACTCCCGACGTGGCAACATCAGAGTCTTCTCGGGCATTGGAGCATCCGTCGGTCGGCAACAGTAGGAACTTCTTCTGCATCAATCTGTCACTCCACCTCCTCCTGCTCGAGTCTGCTCCTCCCCTGCCATATCCAGCTTCCTTCCATCCCCAAGCAAGCAGTTTTCGTCCTTGATATTTTCCGCACTGACCACTACCCCTCCCTACCCCTCCACTACCCCTCCCTTCGCCTAAAGTTTCGACCGGCAGAGTAAAGAAGCTCAACTTTGAGTAAAGAAGTTGCGACTCTATCTTTTACTCAAAGTTTTAAGTTAAAAATCAGTACGAGGACAATCACTGAAAAGAAACCCTAGCAACCAGCTAGCAACAGGCTCGGCGCTATCTGACTGGCCGGGCTGGCACTGATGCCATCCGCGTCACGTTTACCCCCCCGGGCCCCGGCGGTCACGCCCGGCCGGCCGGACCGGCCAGGCGGCGGCCGCGCCGCGCCGCCGCCGCGCGGCACCCGCCGGGCTGCCCGGGTCACCCTGACCGGTCACGGTGCCAGTGATCATCGGACAGTGTACGGTCCGCCGCCGCCGCCGGGGCCCGGGCGCAAGGCTCCGGGCCCGGGCCGGCCGCTGCCGGCCAGTCGGACTCCCGTCCGATCTTCGAGTGACTGCCACCGGGCCTCAGCCGCGCCGAGTCAAGTTCCAAATCAAAATTACTCAAAGTTAATTCCATAACTTTAACCGGCGCAATGCCGGGGCAACCGCCGGCGCCGGCAAAGTGTTTTGAATAATTCTACCTAGTCTCTTAATTATGGTCAGTGTGAGGGGTCATGTATAGATAATCCTTGGGTATTGAAGGGGTGGTGGGTACCCTATCAATTTTAATCGTTCCATTAGATGAATTTATCCGGCAAAATCACCCCTTAATATTCCTGGCTATTCTCCGAAAAGATTGGGGTGGGTACATGTTCAATCAGGGGCGCCGGCCTTTTTGAGAAACACTACTATAATCAGCAATATTACTGGGGGGGACCCCACCCTCCTCCGGGATACCCTGACAAGCCGCCAGCCGCATCGCATCCTTCCTGGCATGTCATCGTCGAGCCATGTTTGCTTGTTTGGAACAGAATGCAAGATACCTCCGGCAGAATTAGGAGATAGTACTCTCATCCAGTGCACGGCTTGCTCGAAATACTTTCATCACCTTTGCGCTAACCAAATCAATGGTTATGAAGATTGGAGTTGGTGTGGATGCGAACTGCCACTCGCGTCTGGAAGAGAGAAGGAGCTTGAAGAAAGACACAATGCAGATGCTGGTGCTGTTCCAGCAGTTCCTATCGGAGAGAGTCCAGCACTCTCCGATGCTGGGAGTGATAGATCTGATTCTGCAAGTTTGAACGATGCCCCTGCAAGCAGTCAAAATTGGAGGAAGGTAACTGCGGATGTAAAGAACAGGATTTTATCCCAAGGTTCCAAGACCAGGTTGGTGATAACGACAAGCTATTTCCTGGTATTTTGAAATGGTTCATTCAATGGGGATCAGTCTCACATATGCACAGGTACGAATCAGTATCATAGATTTCTGATGTCTTTCCACCGAACTATGTCGGTACCAGCACAAGGCGACGGTGAAGAGTCGGAGGCAGCCAGGAGCTCAACGGATTTGTTATCGTGCCGGAGGAGAGTGTGTATAGAAATGGAAAGGCTGGGGATCAAAGCTGATGAGATAGGAACACATTCTGTAAGGAAGGTGAATAAGCCAAGTTTGTGGTGAATAGTGACTCGAGCTTACTTCCGGTATAGGGCGCTGCCACCTTCTGTGCAAGTGGAAGTACCCTGCTCACCTGTAGTGGCACTTACAAGAAGAGCTGGGTGGGCAAATGGAGGGGTTTATGATCGATACTTCAAGTTCGAGGCAGCAGGTAGAATTTTGCTAAGTTAGTGACATTTGAAATGAGTTATATGCTCGCAGGGGATGCTTTTGTTGGAAGGACAGCGGCAGGATTGCGCATCGATTCTGAAGAATTTGCTATCCTTCCACCTCACTTTGGTCCTCAGCAAGACAGTTATGTCAGCGACGCAGTTCAATCGTGCTTCCCACACATCAGGCAGGAATTTCGAGGTGTAGCAGAACATGCTCTCGCGAGCTTGGTTTATCATTGGGACTATTTGAAGACTCGATTAGACGAGCATCACCTGATGTGGAGCTGTGCATTGGTTCGAACAGAAGGGATGCTGGATGAATTGAAGCGTCGAGTGAAGTGTGGGTTGCCTGGTGACCCGGGCATCGAAATGAGAAGTACTGGTTGCCCCCCTCATGTCATGCAGAACTTGCATTACAAGATGATTGCACAGGAGGTCAGACGACTCAAGGAGGAAATAAGCAAAATGAAGAAACGCCTCAGGAAGATTGACGGAAATGTTCGTGCTACCAAACGTCGCCGTCAAACTCACAGCGATATAGAAGAGGAAAGTGAGTTGCAAGGAATTGACAGTGGCGACAGTGACAGTGGCAGTGACAGTGGCAGTGGCAGTGGCAGTGGCAGTGGCAGTGGCAGTGGCAGTGAGCGAGCTGCCGCGATGATGGGAGACGATGTTCGCCATCGCCAGATAATGAAGGCCTTCGATAGGATGGATAAAAAGATCGACAACATGATGGGGCGGGGTATGACAAATAATTTTACAAGATCTCCTGAGCATCAACAGGCAAATGAAGATACGATGACGGGGCAGGATGGCTCCGCAAGTGAGGATGAACATTCTGCACATGACATGGGAATTTCAACTTGGAAAGATGCAAACGTGTCACCGGGTTTCAACGTCACCAAACATTTTGGAACGTGGGAGAACGCATGGATTGCATGGCATTTTGGTGACACTGTGAAGAAACATCCTGCTTTGAAGGAATTGAGCAGAGCGCATATGGAAACCAAAGAAGAAGGAAGGAGATTTAGCGACTTGACCGTTCTTGTCGAAATTTTTGAAAGGTTCGTGAGGAGGGAAATCATGGAATCAGAGAACAGTGATGCAGAACTTGAACGGTGGAGAAGTTTTGTAGCAAGGCCAACACTGGCTGAAGCTCAACATTGGTTCAAAACATATGACAAAGGCTTTTTCAAATTGGTGAGTTCTAAGTCGAAGGCACGTACGAGGAGACAAGGACAATTGAAATGGACAACTTATGTTAGAAAAATGCGACAATGGAAGAAAAGTGATCTCAATGCATTTTTAAATCGTTGATCATCCATGTAATAAAGAAAAAGATTCATAGCACTGCAATATAATCTTGTTGAAAGAAGATGAGAGTTGAAGGATGCAGCAAGACTCTCAAACGAAATTGTTCTAAGTGTTTTTCACTCTGAGGCGGACTTGTGAGGTTGAAAGGTCATCGAACCCCCCTTCGCCCCCGGGGGTGGTCCAATTATGTGGTGAACAATAAAAATGACAGAAAACCTTCAGAGTTTAAAGAAAGTATATAGTGTGCCGGCCAAAGTCTTGGAAAGCTAAGTTTTAAAGTAATGGGTGTGGTCACCCAACTTCCGCGTTCACAACAATACCGAACGAACAATGCTTGCAAGAGATCTTCATTCTCTCTTCCAAATTTTAAACATTTGCTGAAAATCTTGAAATTTCAATACAATCATTTACAAATAAAAAAAAGTTGAGTTGAATTAACCGGTGCTGTTGAGATGTAGGTGCTGGGATATGATGGGGTGGGTGATGAATCGTTCCTCCTAACGAAAAGTAAAAAAAACGCTGCACGCGCGGACAGTGTGAGGGAGCATGCGGAGGGAAGCAGGACAGAGGGGTGGGAACATGGCGTCAGGGAACATGGCGGGAGGGAACATGGTGGGAGGGAACATGGCGGGAGGGAACGAGGGAAGGTGAAGGAGAGATGGTGAAGGAGAGTAGACTAGGAGAGGGAGATGAGCAGAAGCTAGCAGGGAGTTGTAAAGCCTGTGAGGACGACGAGATCGAGCTATGCGAGCCTGTCGGGAAATCTATAAACCGAGAGAACAGCGTCGTTCAGTGTGTGAGTGTGCAGAGGCAGCTTGTCAGGAAATGATTAGCACGATCAGAAGATGGGATTGGAAGGAATGTCAGACTGCTAGGGTTACCCTTTGGAAGGGATGGTAGGGAGTAGGGAAGAGAAAGAGATACGATTTGGATAGTGAAGGGCAGAGCGCTTTTGCAGCGATCATGGAAAGATATAAATGAGAGGGAGCATGATGAGTTGTCAGGAATGCGATTTTGTCCAGAGGAGAACATCGCAGCACTCTGTTCAAGGGGGGGGGGTTCAAGTAGAGATGACACTTTGGAAGCGTCGATACTTGACGCGTCCGGCAAGTAGCAGTAGAGCACTTAGAGAGCAATGCATCGATGCCTGTTGTGTTGAAGTGGGAAGGTTCTGTTGTCGATGTCTTGGTAGGAGCTGCACTGTCAACAACTGGAGTGCGGGAGCAGCAGGAATGGAGTTATCCTGCGGCGAAGAGAATCAGTCGTTGCAGTGAAGAATGAGTCAGTTCTCTCACCTGATGTCCCTGGGCTGAACCAGCTCACTCACACTATAGCACGTTTGATCGTTGGTGACGGGGATGCTGATGTTTGTTTGTGGTGCAGAAGTATGTCCAAGAAGGTTGCAACAGCGGGAAACAAGTTCCGTACTTCTCTCGGTCTCCCGGTGTGTAGTCGCGATGCTGCATGCGGAGTGTGTGACGAGCATGGCAGACCTCCGCGGTCATGAACTGCGCTGACAACACCGGAGCGAAGAACTTGTACATCATCGCCGTCAAGGGAGTGAAGGGACGCCTGAACAAGCTCCCTGCCGCCACCGTTGGATCTATGTGCATGTGCTCGGTCAAGAAGGGAAAGCCCGAGTTGAGGAAGAAGGTGATGCCCGGGATTGTTGTCAGGCAAAGGAAGACGATCCGCCGTAGGGACGGCATGGTCCTCTACTTCGAGGACAACGCTGGGGTGATTGTGAACCCCAAGGGCGAGATGAAGGGATCAGCCGTCACTGGCCCTGTCGCTAAGGAATGCGCTGACTTGTGGCCTCGTATCGCCTCCGCCGCCGGCACCATCGTTTGAGTTGTTTATTCGTCACGCACTTAGATAAATTGAAAAGACAGAAACGCTCCGTCCTCGGCTTCATCCCTGTTCTCTCTCTCTCTCTTTCTCTCTCTCTCTTCCTCTCCCTCTCCCTCTCCCTCTCGTTGTACTTCATCCTCCTGTTCTGCCGGAGGATGAAACCTTAAGAAGGATCTCTTCACGAAACATGCAGCGCTTGCTCGCCGTGAACGGCACCTGTGACAACATGAGCGGCAAGGGTGCATGGCATGCGATTGCTCACGGATGAGAGCGAGAGCTTCTCTTTCTTCCTGCTCCCATGCTTCCTGTGCTGCATGTGAGAAGAACAGGCGACACGACAAGCTGCCAGACCCTCCGCTGGATCTCCTGCAGGGAAGGAGCGACCACGTCGACACGGTTGAACCACGCGGCCCCAGAGGTCTAAGGACGTCACAAACAGCGAGCACAGCGAGTAAAGTCACCTGCTTCCTCCTGCTCTGCCTGGGGTTCCGCGCCTTCTCTTCCTCCGCCTGGATGCTGGCGAAGCTGATGACTTCGGGGCCGGCTTGAGGAGGAGAAGGCGAGTGAGAGGCATAACTCCAGGACTTGGCCGAGTCCTTGGAGGAGGAGCCGGACGACACGTCCTACAGGAGGTCAGCCAAGTCACCCGAAGCACGTCGTGTCACCTTCTTCTTCCCTTTGGGTGTCTTGGCCACGGCGAAGTCAGCGAGGGAGAAGCCGCTGGCAGAAGAAGACTTGGCCCACGACTTGGAAGCAGACAAGGACTGGGAAGGGGAGGCAGACGGGAGCGACGATGCTCCTCGCCCCTCTCCCTGCGGGCTCCATCCACATCCTGCTGGACTCTTGCTGGAGTCAGCTGGGCCCCAGAAGAGCTCATCGTCAGCCTCGTCCGTCTTCTTCCTCTCATCTCGGATCGGCTTCGCTGCGGAGATGCTGGGGAACGCTTCCTCCATCCCGCACACCTGCTCACGGGCCTGCTCTGGCTTCGGGGGAGTCACCTTAGCCCATCCCCCTCCTCCTGACTTGCCGCTAGCCCGCGACCTGCTGCTGTCCTGCCGCTTCTCTTGCTCAGAAAGATCCCTGAGGGCCTGCTTGCTGTCTGACTTGCTCTTCTCCTTCTCAAACAAATCCCGCAGCGACTGCGGTTCGAAACCCTCCGTCACCTTCCAAGCCTTCTTGCTTTCTCCTCCCTTGTCTTGGCTGGCGCTGACAATGGGGACTGGGACTGCAGCTTCCTTGGTCTGCTTCTTGCTCTGCTTGCTCTTCTTGCCGCTCCCCTTCTCACTCCTCAAGGCTCCGAAGAAGTCCAGATCATCTCTCTTGGTATACCCGTAGGCTTCGACTGTCTCCCCTTCTGTCGACTTCACTACAGTCTCCTCCTTCTCCTCTCCCTCCTCCTTCTCCACTTGTTGCCCAGGCTCCATCCCCATTGACCCGTAAGAGTCGTCGACCTGATCGGCCCCGGCGAGCTGGTCCTCGAGCACCAGCTTGTCCATCTCGTCGTCGCCTTCCTTCAAAAGGGAGTGGGGGCTCTTGGAGGGCGTCAAGTTGCTCTGCATCTGCTCGAACATCATGTCTGGATCCTCTCCCATCGACCTCAGCCTGCTCAAGATCTCCTCTTTGGTGGACAACTTCGCGCTCTGGTCTTCGTTGAGCACCTTCCCAGCTGACTGGGCGACCTCCAGCTGCCAGATCTGCTGAAGCTTCTTCCTCAGCTTGCGCACAGACTGGCTGTGAGAACGCGAGGGATCCTGTTCGTTAGCCGCGTCATCGAGCTCCAGGTGGAACTGCTCGTCATCCAAAAGTTCCTCGTACGGGTCGTCGCCTTGAGCGTAGAGGCTCTCCTCCTCCTCCTCCCCCTCGGCGACCTCCTTGCCCTCCCCGTCGCTGTCCTGGCAGTCACGAGGGACGCGAGGTGGAGCCTTAGAGTCGCTGCTCATCCTCCTCTGCAGGTCGGCCAGGGTTCTCTCCGAGAGCTCTCGCCACACTCCTGTTGCCAGCACAGTGTCGAGGTTGCGGAAGAGAAACTCAATAGTGTACTTGCGCAGAGCAGGCACAGGAAACGACTCAGTGAAGGATGCACAGGAAGCAACGTTGCGCAGGTCCACCATGGACTCAGCTGCCCTCTCGCAGAGGTACTGAAGCGATGGGACGCCGCCCTCGCTTGAGGAGCGAGTTGGAGGTACCGTGGAGGGCAGGGAAGTCCCGAGGACGGCAAGGGCATGGTGAGCACCAGCGGCGACATCCGTCGCCCTCCTGATGCCGTCGACAGACTTGACGAGATAGCGGTTGGTAAGGGCGTCGCTCTCATCGAGAACGACTCCCTTCCTGCACGAGCGCTTCCATGAGTCAGTAGGAGAGCCGGTGCCAGAGTCCGGGGAGCCGGAAGGAGAGCAGGATTCCTCCAGCGAGGAGCGAGCCAACGTGGGGGAAGCGAAGAACCCTCCAGACTTGGGCGAGGAGCTGTAGGCAAGGGTCATGGATCCGTCGGGGGTAGAAGGGCAAGCGATGCGAGCGGAGCCAGGGCTGCTGCTGTCCAGCAAACCAGGAGATGTCGACAGGATGTTCACTCCTCCTGCGATACCACCACCACAACCTCCTGAACCTCCTCCTCCTCCTCCTCCTCCTCCTCCTCCTCCTCCCGCAGAAGATCCAGACGAGCCTGCGGCATCATTCGGGAAGATCTCAAGGACCTGTCCAGTGACGCTGACGGCGAGAACTCTCCCTCTCTTCGGAGGCGCCGAGATGCGCTTGAAGGTCATCTTCCTGGTGCACTTGGGGACGAGGGCCCTGGAACCGAAGGCAACGCCTCCTCCTGCGCATGGCTGATGCTCCACCACCAGCAGCACGCCGTTGGCAAGCGCCCAGAGGCGATCAGCCTGTGCCTGGAGGAAGGAGATGCTCGTTCCCCATTGCAGGTGCGCAAGGTACTTGGGGATGACGACCCGTGCGAGGCCTGCGCGACCCTCACCCATGATGAACAGAGAACCGACGCCGCTGCCCTCAGCCTTGCAAGCGACGGCGGTGTAGGCCTCGGTGGCAGAGCAGGCGCAGACCTCTTTGTCGGCGAGACTCTCCACCTTCTTGGGCAGCCACACGGCGACATCGAGGAGTGTATGTCCGAGCTGACCCTGCAAGTTCGACCCGCAAGTCCACAGGCTCCCGTTGTCCTGCACGAGGACGGTATGATTCGCTGCTGCTGCTGCTGCTACGATGCACTGTTTGCGCAGCTCAGTCAACCTCTTTGGAGCAAGGGATACTTCCTCCTCGCTGACTCCAGCAGCCTGCTGACCGATACCCAGCTGCCCGAACTTGTTGGAGCCCCACGCGAAGACAGCGCCTCTGTCTGCGATGGCAATGGTGTGGTTGTCTGAGACCGCCACCATTGAGACTCTCACTTTCTCCAGGGACGTGATGCGTTGGAACAGAGCGAGAGACTTCTCCTCCCCATGTCCCAGTCGTCCTCCCGTGCCGAAGCCAGTGGTCCATACCTCGCCATGGCAGCCCACCACCACAGAGTGCAACTTGGACGTGCTGACGGATCGGATGCCCATTGGAAGTTCTTCTACCTTGGACGCCTTTTTCTTCGAGAGGCAGGCTGCAGTTTGACCCAGCTGGTAGTTGTTTCCTGCTCCCCACGCGAAGCACTGACCCATGTTGCAGTCGCTGGAGCTGCTGATGTACTCCATGAGCATCCGGTGAGACAGCAAATCCAACGGCGTCATCCCGTTCTTGTCCCGCACCTCGATGCTAGCCCCGCATCTGAGCAGCTCGCAAGCCACTCGGATGTCCTGGCAAGGAGGCTGCAAGGAGTAGTGCAGTGCTGTTTTGGACTCCCAATCCTTCCCGTCCACGTTGGCACCAGCTTCGAGCAGGAGGGAAACCATATCGATCCTCTTGTGTTTCACTGCTGAGTGGAGCACCGTGATGCCTTCTACCTGAGAGTTGAGCAGCAGAGACAGTCGTTTCTCTGCATTCGAGTTCTTTCCGTCGGAGCTTGCCTTCCCGCTCTTCTGCTGCTGGAGGAAGGAAGAAAGGGAGGAACAGCTGCCCGCCTTGGTCAGTTTGAAGAGTTGAGCTTGTGCAGCAGACGCCATGCCGGTGACGAGACGTTAAGTTGAGATAATTTATGTGTGGGTTGAGTTTTGAGTGTCTAACAGTTTAAGATCCGGTTGAGAGTTGTTCGGCAAACAGAGAAGAGACGAATTCAGACAGGAGTAATGAGAGGCCCAACAGGGCCCATCTTGGATGTTTGGTAGGACGGTCAGAAGTGGAAGATGAGCGCCAAGACAGTTACTGAAACAAGGGAGCACAACAAGAGCTAGAACTTCTCTGGCCTCTCAACAACGATGACATGCAACAAGTTACCATCCTTCAAGTCGCAAGATACAGCACTGCTGGTTGAGACAAGCTGCACGAAACCAACCAGACTACCCTCACTAATCAAGAAAGTGTCAGATCATTGAAAGGCCTGAATACCACCACAGCCCTCTCATCCACTCCTCTTCTCTGAATTTGCTACTCTATCCATTTCTAACTACGAAGCATCTTCGATTCTCATCAAAATCCCTTTGATCTTTTGCCAGGCAAGTCAACTTCATGTGGTTCGACGATCTTCTCTTTCTCCAAGGGCACTGCTGCAGCTACCTTGATTCTCTTTCCTTCCTCTTTACTCTTCTTCACACCCTTCTCTTTGCAACCTCTCCCTGACCTCTGCCTTGATTGCTTCCCCTATTTCATCTTTGCTACATCTCGCTTCCCCTTTCCTAACCTCCTGCCAACTCCTCCATGCTCTAATGATCTTCGGATTCTATCTCCTTGACTCACCTTTCCTCTCCTACCCTCCGCTTGCCTGTTATTCACTCTCTTCGTCTCTTCTTCCCTCATCTTGCATCATCTTGCCTCTCCTTCCTCCATCTTCCTCCATCTCCCTCTCTTCTCCTCTCTGCTCCCTTCCTTGTCCTCTCTCCTCTCCTCTCCGCTTCCCTCCTCTTTCCGTACTGTCCGCATCATCCTTCAGCCCCTTGTCACGATACCCCCACCCCCCCAAATTGACAAAAATTTATCCACCCACCCCTTCATTTTCAAAAATATATATCACCCCTACCGTAGTGGGTGTCATATTTGGGGGGGTATATTACCTACCCCACCCCCTATGACATGGAACAACACACCCGATAATTCTACACCTGCTTGGGTCCTCGGGATGTTGCAAGGGAATTTAGCGAAAAACAGAGATTAAGAAGGTTTAATAATATTAATGTGAGATTAAAAGAAGACTAACAGAAGATTAAGAGAAGATTAAGATCCCGAGGCGGAGCGGAATTGAACACCCCTACCCCTGTTTCTCCATGATTGGTCTCATGACCCCACCCTCCGAATCTCTTCATTTTCTGTATGAATCACCCCAGTTCACCTCTACCCCCACCCCTCACATTCAACCAGGGGATTGCATGCGACGAAGATGCAGAGGGAGCGGAAGGGCAGGGAAGGGGGAGGGGAGGGGGCGATGTGGGAAGAGGAGGCTCATGGCGGATATGGATGATATCCAGTCAAGATGACAAGGTCTTGCACAGAGAGAGAAGAAGAATTGTGAGAGCAGGAGGAGCACCATAGACAAGGGGCAAGGACAGAGCTGACGGTGAAAGGCGAAAGGGCGGAAGTTGAGGACCCAAGACAGAGAATATGAAGCAAAGGAGAAGATCCAGGCTAGAATCAATACTTGTCATGGTAGCAGGATAAAAGACTGACCTGGAGGAGGAAGGGGAGGAAACATTGGGGTGCGGGATGTGCGGGGAAAGGGGCAGCCATCAAAGTTCTTTCAGATTATTTTCTGAACTCTGTTCAACCTTCGTCTCCTTAGAAGAAGTCATGACATTCTTTCAGGCGTCCATGCCTCGATCGAGATCAAGATCTCCCCGTCGCTCCCGCTCTCGCGATGACAGGCATCGCGGAGGCGACAGGAACAGGAGCCCGCCGTACAACGATCGTAGACACGACAATCGCAGGGTGTCATTGTTGGTGCGAAATTTAGGTTGGACAGCTGTGATATGGAGAGTGCGATGTAAGAAGGAGATGCAGGTGATGGGATCTCAGCCGAAGAGGTTAAGAGTGTCTTCGAGAGGTTCGGTAAGGTCCGAGATGTCTACATCCCCACAGACTACCACACCAAGTGAGCAGCCTATCTCCCTCCTCCCTTTACCTCTTACGTCTTTATGCGCAGGAGGCCGAAGCCTTTCGCTTTCATCGAGTTCTTGAATGGAGACGATGCGAGAGATGCCAAGGACGAGCTCGACAACCGAGAGATCTGCGGCAGGAAGGTGAGCAACCCTCCTCTGCTCGGCCGCCGGTGACGCCCGGTAGGTCTCTGTGCTCTATGCTCAACGCGGTCGCACTACTCCCGACCAGATGAGAGCACGCGATTCCTCCGATCGCTCGCCTGGCAGGAGCAGGCGCTCGCGATCCCGCGACAGGCCTCGTGAGCGCAGGAGCTACTCGAGGAGCCCCAGGCGCTCGAGGTCGCCGAGGAGGTCGAGCAGACGAGCTCTGCCTAGTCTCTTCTCCTCACTCTGCCCTGCAGGACTAGAGACAGGTCGCCCCCCGAAAGAAGCTCGCGGGACAGGTGAGCAGACGCTGCCGCTCGCTTGCCCGCTGACTGTGCGGGAGGTCCCCGAGGCACTAGACGTGGCTCGTGAAGAAGGAACTTGGAGATTGGAAGGAGGACGTGTCGGCAGAGATGTAGGCGATGAAAGGAGGATGACGATCATGGCAGAGGTGAATCAGTCTGCAAAGATCAGCCGAGAAGTCGCCATGCAGCTCCCGATGGAATGAGCAGCAAACAGCTCAATGGAGTTTGTCACTGTTACAAGACGATTTTCAATCCTCGGTAACGCTGGCTGCTAGTGTGTCTCAAGATATCAAGTGTGCGCTACTCCATTTCTTCCTCGGCCTCCTCCGATGACTCGCTGTCTGACCTGCTCACGCCTGTCACCTCCTCGAATCCTCCCTCCTCCCTCCTCACTCTACCCTTTCCTCTCTTCTTGATGCCTCCGACGCGCCATCTTCTTTCGCTCGCGCTCAACCTTGTCAGCCTGTCAACAAGCGCTGTCTCCTCGTCCTCCTTACCTTCAGCGCCTCTTGACAATCCTCTGCCAACAGCTGGACGTCACGTCTGCCTGAGTTGGAGGCAGTCTCCACCTGAGAGGGTGACTTAACGGGAGGGCGACAGGAGGCGGGACAGCGTCTCACTTGCTCTTGCCCACCGCTGCGCATCGTTACCAAGGTGTCGAGCTCCTCCAGCTTCTTGCGGAGGATCTGAGAGGAACGCTGTGAGGAACAACAAGGAGCTCGGGGACCGACGAGCCTGGTTGTGCTCTTCCGTGAAGGCCATGAAGGGGTACCTGGGGGCTGTCAGCAGCAGCAGCTAGACACACTTCCACCTGAGGAGGAAGAAGTCTCTGAGAACTTGTGAGGACACGCTGAGTTGAGGGTTCATAGAGAGGATGTATTCCTCGACCTCGCGCGAGATGTCGCCGGCAGTCACGGATCCCTTCCTCTGCACCTCCCTCTCCTCCTCCAGCTCCCCGTCCTCCTTCCCCCCTACGTGGATGAGCATGTTGAACTGAAGTTTGGAGTGCTTCTTTCGCTCACGATTGATCCTCTGCACAAGGAGATGTCATTGCTCGCACTGACCTCCTCCGGTCTCCTCACGTTCTCCTCTTCGCTCAATTGCTCCAGCTTGTTGGACAGCGCTTCTTCTCGTTCGCGCAGTCGCTGGATCTCCGCATCCATCTCCATGTCCTGCAGGAACATCTCGACGAACTCGGGAGGCTTGCCGGTAAACTCACACACGTGACTGATCAACTGCCCCCATCAGCATCAGACGTGACCATCAAGGCAGCCGTATGCTCACGTTAAAGACTTCGCCCTCTCCGCTGCAGCATGTATCAGTGGAAAATGTCAGCGAGAGCTTCCGTTACCTCGCTTGCATCAGCAGCTTTGCTAGCTCCAGCTTCTTCTCGTGCACGTGCAACGAGCTCTCTTCCTGTCAAGCGGGGTAACCAGGCCAGCAGCACAGATGGAGGTGGAGAAAGAACTTTATCTATCTCTTGCGAGGTCGCTTCTATCTCAGCAACCAGCTTCTCCTCCTCATCGTCCAACTCCGCCATCTGCCGCTCGAGCACGTACATTTCTCTCTGAGGGTTCAAACTCATCATTCAGCCTCTAGGGGACTGCAGCTGGACCTCCAACGCCTCCTTGGCTGCTGTCCTGCTTGTGACGGCATCTCGCCGATGCTTCTCGTACTCCTCATCCATCTCGCGCTTCCTCGTCGCGAGGTGCTCCGCTGCTACCTCAAGCTCGTCTTGGCAAGCTCTCAGCGTGACCTTGTTTGCCGACAGCGCTTCCCCTTGCTCGTCTATCTGCGACTCGAGCCTGAAGTTCTCCTCGATCAGCCCCGGCGACTCATCGCACTTCCTGCACAACATCGCACGTGATCGACTGCCCCGGCGCTCATGAGAGGTCAAGAGGACGCCAGCACTCACTGGATGAAGTCTGCTCGCAGCCGCTCGAACTCCTCGATGAAGTGAGCCGTGCTGTGCACGAGCCCGTGCTTCTCGTGGCTACATACGTTCCTTCATGCTCAAGTCAGCGGCAGGAGCGACGAGTCGAGCCGCACGCGCCTGTTGATGTCAAACCCACAGCGATCGCAGAAGAGGTACAGGACTTGCTTCACCTCCTCGATCTCAGCTGACATCCTGCATCAGCTCGTCACACAAAGAGGACAAGAGCACTCGCGCGCCTGCTGATCTTTGTGCTGAGGTTTCGCTCTTCCTTCTTCACGTCGGCGTGATTGTCCTCTAGCAACTCGATATGCCTGCACGCGCATCACTGACCCGTCACATGCACGCTTGCAGCTGACTTGTTCATCAATCGCATCTCAGCCTTCTCCCTCGTCGTCAACTCATCCATCACACTGAACTTCCTGCTCTTCTCAATGATGCAAAGAGCATCTGAGCAGCATCACACAATGACATGACGGTCATGAAGCATGTGTGGGAGTCAACCTGAGATTTCCTTTTGCATGTCGTCCTGCTTTCCTTCGCTTCTCCCCTGGGCCTCTGACGACGCTTTCTTCTCCTTCCGCCCATTGATGTCAGGGAGCGAAACGAAGTCCATCCTCTTTGTCTCTGCGTTCCTCCGCTGCTCCCCGGTCAGCGGCGGCGAGCATGCGCAATAACAGAGGACATACCATCTGAACGAAGAAAGACTTGCCCGAGCCGAAGTCTGTCGCGTGAAGAAACTCAAAGATCAGAGTAGACCTGAACAGCCTCATGATCCCCTCCAGCTGCGAGCAAGCGAACAAGTCAGTGAGTTGGTGAGTGACTGAGTGAGAGGGAACGGGGGAAGAGGGAGGGAGGGGATGGAGGGAGGGAGGGGAGGGAGGGGAGGGAGGGGAGGGAGGTGAGGGAGGGAAAAGGAGAGGGGGGAGGGGGAGAGAAGATTCATGCACCTGCTTCTGGCTCATTCCGATAACAACTTTGCGGCTATCAGGTGACTCATCTTGGACCTGACGGAGCCAGTCACACCATCGCATCTCCGCTGTCCTACCCTTCACCGCGATCAGCTTGTCGCCTGCTCTGATCTTCCCGCACTCGGCCGCTGGCGACCCCGGAAGCACCTTGCTCACAACAAGGACGAGACGGTATCCTGAATCAGCAGCGGTGGCAGCGATGACTTGTTTCCTGCTGGTCTGCCAGACTATGCCGAGGGACGACATGCTATAGAGTCCTTCAGCCGATGCCTCCTCTCCTAGCTGGTGAATCGCCGTGATGGCGAGGAGGCGTCTTCGCTCGCCGACGTCACTTCGATCCTCCTTGCACTGTTGCTGACCTCACAGCCCAGATGTCAACACTGATGAATGTGGCACCTTATGACCGACCCGAGACGTCATCGAATGCAGAATGTGTCTGAAGTATCATAGTATGGTCCACTCGTCTCATCACCGGACTGGCCTTCACGATTTTTTCCTTCAACTAGTTCTCAAGCACTTTTCTGCTCGTTCACTTCATTTCATTCCTCTCTCGCCAAGATCTCTCCTCCTCTCCTCCCCTTTCCTCTCGGGCCTCCTCTCCGTCCCTCCATCACTGAGGTGTCTCGCCACCATGCCTGGGCCTCAGGTACTGAGCAGCCTGGCATGACTGCCGGCACCGCAGCAACTGACCAGGTAGGACCAGTGGGAATACTCCTAGCGAGCTCACCTCAGACTATGGCGGGCAGACTCCCGCCCGACCCGGAGCCTCAGTGCCGGGCCGCCCCCCCGGGCCCGCGGCGGCGCGCGGGCCGGGCTGCCCCGCGGCGATCGGACGGTGGCCCGGCTGAGCCCCCGACTCGGCGAGACCCACCCGGGGGCGCTACTGATCGGAGCCTCCCGCAGTCCCGGGCCTTCAACCGTGCCGCAGTGCCCTACTTGACTCTGAGTAGTGTAATCACTTCTATACCTGCACACTCAACTGCGCGCACTGGCTGGGACGGCATAGACGCCATGCCGGAACGCACTCGCGATGATGCCGCGCGGCAGATCCAGCGCTTCCGTTCACGGTTTTCTTCAAGTTGCGAGTCGCCGAGCCGACAGTCGGACCCGCCAGCTGAGCGGCCACCGTGTGACGGTCGGACTCTCAGATATTAAAAAAAAACTCAAACAGTCTATCAAAACTTGACAGTCTCTATCACTATCTAGTCAAACTTGAATAAAAAGTATTTTTGTCGGTACCCCCACCCATGTCCCTAAGTCGACTACCCCTACATATCCTCACCCCCTGTAGGGTAAGAGGTACAGTGGTGTCCAGTAGGGGTGGGTAATGACATGTTGCCGGAAATCGAGCGCTTCACATGCTGGGCAGAGTCTGCCGCAAGTCTCCTCTCCTCTCCTGCTGCGGCTCCCCTTGCTCATAGTTCCTCTCCTCGGGCCTGCTGCGGCTCCCCTTGCTCATGGTTCCTCTCCTCTCCTGCTGCGGCTCCCCTTGCTCATGGTTCCTCTCCTTTCCTGCTTCTGCTTCAACCACTCTCGAGACCGTTTGACCTCTTTGCACTGATAAAACTAACTCCTCTCTCTCTCCCTCTCTTCTCCCTCCCTCTCTCCCTCACTCTTTCCTCCCTCTCTCCCTCTCTCCCTCCCCCTGCCCATTCTCTCTCTCTCAGGTTGTAATCGAGGATCTTCAACGTACCCAAGACTCTGCGGCTCCAAATGACTGACGTGAAGTCGGGATGGGTGCTCAAGTGGACGGGAAGCGTCTTTGCTTCATGGCAGAAGAGGTACATCCAGTACAAGCAAGGGAAACTCTCCATGCGGCACAGCGATCGAGAGAGGATGGCGCGAGTTTTGCAAGTCGCCTCCATCCGCATCAAACCGTCAGTACCCACAGAGATGAACATCGTGTGCCAGGACGGCAAGAACATGCTCTTTCGTTTCTCCTCCCCCGCAGAGCGCGATGACTGGTTCAAGACGATTCATGAGGAGATGAGCGGTCAGAAACCTGCCCCGTCCTCTGCTCTGCCATCGGAGCCGCCACAGGGCCCTATCCACCCCAGCCAAACCCGAGCTGTGCAGGCTCATCAGATGGCGCAGGCAGAGGTGCTCCGCCTTCAGCCCAGGGGGGTCGAGATGTCTTCCTCCCCCAAGGTCTCCAGCCGACCGGACGTTCTGAGGTTGGGAGCTCAGGAGCTAGTAGCGCCAGCTGCACCGGCTCCTTTCTCCCCCTCCAAGGCAGGGATGCCGGTAGAGCCCCCCCAGTCTCTCATTTCAAGGTCTCTCTACGACCTGAGGGCGCAGGCGTGTAAGTTGTGATGGGAGGAGCCGGCGGACCTGAGGCCTTCTGACGAGCTGGGCAGACCCGAGTGGCAAGTACGTGGGAGAGTACTTCGCGAGCGAGAGGAGCGGCTTCGGGAAGTTTGAATACAATGATGGGAACGTCTACATTGGTAGGAGGAGGAAGAGCAGTGAAAGGAGATGGTGGTTGTGGTGGTGGTGGTGATGATGATGATGAGGAGGAGGAGGGGGAGGAGAACATTGGAGAGGAAGAGGAAGATCGAGAGAAGGAGGAAATTTCTCGCTGAATTGGATTGGATGTGTCAGGTATGTGGGTGAAAGATCAGAAGCATGGTTTCGGTCGCCTGCAGTGGTCCAACGGCAACGTGTTCTCAGGGGAATGGCAAGCAGACGAGATGACCGGCTATGGTGTGTTTGCATACGCCAACAAGAACGAGTATAAGGTCTAATTCCCAACTTCTCTTCTCCTCCCCCAGTCTCCCATCAACCTTTCCCCTTCTTCCTCCTCCTTTTCCTCCGATCTCTCGTCGTTCTCTGCGTGGATGACGAGGTTGAGCAGGGAGAGTTTCACAAGAACATGAAGGCAGGCAAGGGGAAGTTTGTGTGGAAGTGAGCTTAAGTTGTAGCTGGTCGGGTGGTGACCTCCGGGCTGTGCAGCAACGGCGACTCGTACGAGGGGGAGTGGAAACAAGACATGATGGATGGGCAAGGTGAAGCTTCTACTGAAGGAAGCAGCTGACCCTCCTCCTCCTCCTCCTTCGCCGCCGCCTCCTCCTTCGCCGCCGCCGCCGCCTCCTCCTCCTCCTCCTCCTCCTCCTCCTCCTCCTCCTCCTCCTACCTTGTTTTGTCTCTCATCTCTCATCCTCGTCTTTTCATGCTCCGACGATTCTTCCCCTCGCCCCTCTCCCTCTATCTTAGGAATCATCGTCTACAACAACGGAAACGTCTACGACGGACAGAGCAAGGGCAACTTGAAGAATGGTCGAGGAAGAATGAAAGTGAGCGACTGCTGATCTCCTGTCGGACTGTGAGAGCTTGTGCTGCCAGTGGTCCACCGGGGAAACATACGAGGGAGAGTGGAAGGGAGGCCTTCTTCATGGAAAGGTTGATCCCTATACACGCATATGCTACCTCCTCTCCACCTTCTCGTTTCCCCTCTCTCCCTTCCCTTCCCCAATCGCCCTCGCTTTCATTCTCCTCCTCCGTTTCCACCCCTCCCCGCTTCCACCCCTCTTCTTCCCTTCCTCCTCATTGTCCCTTCTCCTCTTTCTCTCTCCTCCTCCGAACACCGTTTCCTCCTACCTTCTCCTCGTCTCTTGGTCCTTTCCCACCACCCCTCATGACCTCCCCTCCCTGCTCTCATCGCTCGTCTGCAGGGAACCTTCCTGTACGCCAACGGAGGAAGTTACGTCGGTCGCTTCTGCTCCCTCCAGTTGCTGCGTGCAAGTGACAGGAGAGGCAGGAGAATGGATCGACGACATGCGGAGTGGCAACGGGACTATGACGCATCCCAACGGGGTGAGCACGAGGGAGAGGGAGCAGAGGAGGGAGGGGAGGGAAGGACAACGAGAGTTGGCGGAGAAGGAAGAGGCTCACAGGATGTGAGAAGAGAAGGAAGAGGAGAGTTGAATGCAAGGAGAGGGAGAAAGAGGGAGGGAGGGAGAGGGAGAGGAGGAGGAGGAGGAGGAGGAGGAGGAGGTGGTGGTGGTGGTGGTGTTAACGGGCATTTTCCCAGGACATCTATACAGGCGCGTGGCAGATGGACATGAGAGAAGGAAGCGGAACCTGCAGACATGCCAACGGGTGACGGGGAGGAGGAGCAGCGAGAGCGAGAGGCAGGAGCGAGGAAGAGAGAGGCAGGGGGGAAGAGGGAGAGGCAAGAAGAGGGAGGAGGAGGAGGAGGAGGAGGAGGAGGAGGTGCAGGATGGGATGAGCGGAGATCGAGCAGGGACATCTTCGTCGGGACCTTTCATCAGAACCTGCGGCACGGGTACAATCTGCTCCTTTTCAACCCACAAGTGAGCTGGAGGCAGAGCTGGAGTCTACACAGCAGCGCCGCAAGCAGGAGAAAGCAAGGGAGACGAATATTCCGGTGAATGGATGCAGGATAAGAAGCATGGTACGTCTCCTCCCTCCTTCCCCTTTCCTACTCTCTGAATCCCTCCTTTCACCCCCCTCCTCTCCCCTCCCTCCCCCCTGCCCCCTCCTCTCTCCCTCCCTCCTTCTCCTTACTCTCTCACACCCTCGTGCTCCAAGGGTTCGGCAAGTACATGTGGGCAGACGGCGACGTCTACGAGGGAGAGTGGAAGGATGACATGCGCAACGGGCATGGCACGTCAGTCGCTCCCCTCCTCCCCTTCATCCCCCAGCTGACTCTGAGCTGCAGCTGCTTCTACTCAAACCGTGACGAGTACGTGGGCTCGTGGGTCAACGACCAACGACATGGGTCCTGCGACTTTCCTCGCCCCCTCGCCCCCTCCCCCCCCCTTCCTCTTGAGCTCTCTGTCTCCTCCCCCCTCCCGCCTCCTTGTTTGCATCTCTCTTCCCCCTCCCTCTCCTCCCCCCTCCCTCTCCTCCCCTGCTCCTCCCTCTCCCAACGCTCCTCATCTCTCTCCGGCCTACCTCATCCCCCCCCCCTTCTCCCCTTCCCTCTTCTCTTCTCCTGCCCCCTCATCATCATCTTCGGTCTATCTCCTTCCTCCTCCCCCCGCGCCTATATCCCTCTCTCCCTCACCCTTCTGTTCAGCTGGGGTCGACTAGCATGGGCCGACGGCAACACTTACGAAGGGTTGTGGAAGAATGACAACATCGCACCCGGGTATCTCCTCCGCTTCCCTCCTCTACGTCCTTCTTCCTCCTCCTCTTCCTTCCTCGTCTCCCCCTGTGACTCCTCCTCGCCCCAGCGCCTCCTTCTGACCCCCCTCCCTCCTGCTGATGCTCTCCTCCTCTTCTCCTGCTGCTCTCCTCCTCATCATCATCATCTCAACCTCTGGCAGGGCTCGGGGCATCTTCCCCTCCAAGTCCAGGGCAGCAGATCGTCCGGTAGCGGGGGAGAGCCTTCAAAGGCAGCAGCTCCCAGCTGCCGTCAAAACCTTCTCCAGCAGCGGCAGGGACTTTGATCCTGCCCAGGAGAAGCCCAGCAGGACCCCGAGCACGAGGAGGTTCCAGCCAGTCGATCCAACCGCTGCTTTGATCGCCGATGTGAACACGGCAAGTCCTCCTCCTCCTCCTCCTGATCGTCATCGTCATCCCCTCCTTCCTCCATCGTGACTTGTCTGCAGGCCATGGGTTCTTTCTTCGGCAACTTCAACCCGCAGCAGCAGCCCAGCAAGCCGCTTCCACCTCGGGTAAGTCTCTTGGAAGGGGAGCAGGAGAAGTTGACAAAGTGAGCAGGAGGTGTCGAGGAAACCTCTGCTCCTGTTCTGACGCCTTGTATCACTAGCCCGCCGTAGTAAGAATAAACTTGAAGAATCTTATCAGGATCTCAACTTGGCAACTTCGGAGGCGGGGGTCAGTGCGGCCCGCCGGGCCCTCTGCCACTGCCAACTTTCACGAGTCCCGAGTCCGAGGGCCCAGGCTTTCCTCGGAACTTCGGAACTCAGCGCCGGGCCCGCGGGCCCGCGGGCCCCGGCGGGGGCCGAGCCTGCGGCTCCCGGGCGCCGCCGGGCAAGTTGGCCCGGCGGGCCGGCTTATGACACGAGTCACCAGCCTTCTCCCCCCCCCCCACTCCCACCCCCGGCCGGGCCGGGCCGGTTACGTACTACTTGTACGCCGGTATCTCCGCCGAGTCACTTCACTATGTCGCTGACAGAAATCGAGTCCGCCTCAGTTTCCGCTGATAATCTGTTTGCGGCCCTTCACCGGTGTGTTTTCCTGGAATTATAAAGTCAGGGGGTGGGGTGGGTGGTAAGAGAGGCACCTCATAAAGAGACTCTTGTATACTAATATTGTAAAACAGAATGATAAAATATATATGTAATTTAAACACCCTTTTAAAATTTTATTCAACTTATATAAGTTATAAATACTGACATTTAGTTTTGCTTCGTACCAGGCAGCGCTGGTCACAGTACAGATTTTAAAGTATTTTTGATTTCAAACTATTTCAGGATGTTGCTTACATTCCAAATTAATGAGCACGGTTTCAAAATGTTCGGCGAATGTGCTTCGGAATTTGTCGCTCCCATGGTGGCCACGGAGTGGTGCAGGGGGGGGGGAGAAGGAGAAGGGAGAGGAGCGACGGGAGGAGGAGAGGAGGGTGGAACAGGAGAAGAGATCTGAGAGAGAGAAGGATAAGAGCTGACTGAGGGCGGGGTAGATAGAATGAGAGAGGAGGAGGAGGAGTGAGGGGGAGGCGCAATGAACGCTGTGGAAGTAGTCGATCGCGTTTCGGTTCTACTTCCTCTTGTTCGCACGCATCTCCCTCAGTATTCAGTTGTCTTGACATAGAAAGTGAAGAAACTGAAGAAGTAGTGCGACCGGAGAGTGTGATTACAGTGAGATTTGCCCTTTCGCTGCTTGCCATGTTTGGCTGGTTGAACGCAAATGATTTCTACCCTTTCTGAACATTTTCCAGGAGCCCTCAATAGATCCTTGTGGATGTTGCTGGACAAAATATTGGGCTGCAATCTTGCTATGAGATTCTAGTCTCCTTCCCATCTACCATGCGATCCTCCCTCGTGCTCGCCATCCTTCTGCTTTTCCAATCCAACACCGTTGACACGCTCAGTGAGAGCTTGAACACCCCAGCTAAGAGTTCAACATCCAGTTCCTTACAATCTGCCAAGTCAAAGTTCTTTCCGGTCCTTCGCAGCAAAGCAGCAGGTGCAACAGACCTCAGGCATGGCCTCGCGACGGCCCTGCCGGTGGGAAGCACGTCAGTCAAGGGAGGGAATACAGATCAGGCCGCCGTAAATCTGTTCAACTCCAAGGTGGGTGAAAACGGCGGCTTCTTATCCAAGGTCTGGCATGCAAGACATCACCTCCTGGCCGGTGCCATCGTGAGTGGCCCCTGCTCGCTCTCGCTCCCTCCCGTCGTGACCATTCCGACAGGGGAGATGTGTGGCTGTATCGGTCATGTTTCCTGTGGACACCATTAAGACGAGGCTTCAGCTCAACGGAGCTCAATGCTGCACTCCTACCCAGTGGTCGGAGGTAACCTGAGGACGGGGGGGCGGCGGCCATGGGCGCTGAATGTGACCCGCCAGGCTATCAAGAGGCCCTTGTTCCGGGGACTGTCGTCCTCCCTCCTAGGCCAAGTTCCCAACGGCATGCTCGTGTACGGCAGTTACGAAGTCTACAAGAGGGAGCTAACAGAAAAGTTTCCGTCTCTTACCGCCACACAGGCACGCTCTCGTCCCACTCTCCCCTCCTCGTCCTCCCTGTGCCGAGCCTCCCTCTCGTGCTGCCACCCTGTTGCTTGCTGCCATGGCTTCTTCACTATCTTGCTGCCATCTCTTCTCTTCACTCTCATGTCTCTTCACTCTTCTGTCTCTCCATGTCATCGTCCGTTCACACTGCGGCAGGTGAGGCTGATCGCAGCCATGCTCGGGGACGTAACGGGATCAATCTGGCTGGCGCCGTTCGAGCGCACGAAACAACGCGTACAGGTGACCTCTACCTCCTCTTCGCCTCCATCTCCTGACCCTCGATGCAAGGCTGGCTTGTACTCCGGCATGCGGCAAGGGATCAGGTCCACGGTGGCAGACAAGGGGATCTTCGGACTGTATACGGGATACAAGGCGCAGGTGCTACGGGACATGTCCTTTCATGCCATCCAGCTGCCCCTCTACGAGGCGATCAAGGACTTTTGGCTGAGGAAGATCTCCCGTCCGAGCTCAGGCGATCAAGGCTCTTGGAAGAATGCTGCGCGCAAGCTGCAGCCGTGGGAGAGCATGACGGTGGGGGCGATCGCTGGCGCGACCTCAGGTGGGGAGGGAGGAGGGGTTGCTTTGCTCGGGTTGACCATCAGCAGGAGCATTGACTACACCCATTGATGTTCTCAAGACTCGCCTCATGGCATCTTCTCCTATGTCGGCATCCATAGGTAACGGCCATCTGCATCGAACTGATGTCCCTTCTCAGTTCTCCTTTCTCTGTCTTCTATACCTCTCTCCTTTCTCTGTCTGCTATACCTCTCTTCTCTCTCTGTCTCCTATACCTCTCTCCTCTCTTGATTCCTGAGGGTAACAAGGGTCCTTCCAGGGAGCATGCGGCAGGTGCTGGTGCAAGTACTAGTGACAGAGGGTGTGCTCGGGCTCACGGCGGGGCTGCCCCAGAGGTGAGGGAGAGGGAGGAGCGAGAGGGATGCTTGACTCTGCGACAGGGCGGCATACATCGCCTGCGGTAGCGCTATCTTCTGGACTGTCTTCGAGCAGGTTAGCAAGCCATGCCGAGGCGCGAAATGGCGCTTATGGCTGGTATAGGTCTGCCACAGGATCTATCTTGTGGAGCAGCGAGCCAAGACGAGGCAGCAAGTGATGTGATTTGAGATGCCGCTTTCCCTCACACCTGTACATTACTGTCTCTCTCTCATCCTCCCTGCCTTCGTCCTCCTTGAGTGAATTTTGCATGGCAAACGTTCTTGCGCGCCTCCATCTCCATCACGCCGCTCAGAGAGTGGCGATGGTGAAAGCAGCATCCACCCACTCGAAAAGATCGTTCTCAAGCTTCCCTCCGAGGTGATCTCCACTCTGGAAGTACTCGTCTTCCCTGTGTTTGTCAAGAAAGTCTTGCGCGCCCCCCGTCTGCTCAGGGGTCATGGTGGCGGGACTCCAGGCCTCCATGGCCGATACGAGAGAGGCACCATCTCTGATCGTGCTCCACGTGTTGTCACCGAGAAGAAGCTTGAGAGCGAAGAGCACGACGACTACTGGCTGCGTCCCGGGAGTGTCGACGATGTCGCTGTTGTTGGTCAAGGACGCGCCGAACCGGTCGAGGTCGGCCGAAGCCTTGATGGCCTTGAGGGCATCAGCGAGGGCCTTCTGAGCGAGCACGACGAGCTGAGAGGAGGCAGCTCTTATCGCCTCGTCCCTTCCCATCATCGGCGTCTCCTCCTCCTCCATCGCCTCTTCCGCGTTCCGCTTCCCCCCTGCCATTGCGGCCAATGGATGGAACCGCGATAGATGGTATACCAGAGATGCGATGGGATGCAGATCCTGATGATCAATGCAGATGGGATCAGGGATGGGATGTGTAATCAGATGTGTAATCAGATGTGTAATGTTGAGCAGAATGTTGAGGGGGATGAAGACTACCCGGCGCATGTCGGCTATGGGAGGCAGAAGGTCGAGCAAGAGGAGAAGGCTGGAGGGATCAGACACGAAGACAGAGAGAGAGAATACGAATACGACGGAAGCTATGCGAGTACGGGCGGCACCGATCCAATGCAAGAAAATGCGGGGGCGGCAGCATATGCGAGCACGGGCGGCAGCGATCACAATGCAAGGGATGCGGGGGGAGGAGCAGAAGGTACGAGGAGGCGAGGAGCTGATCAGGTGTGAACATGATCTTGCAGTTGCGCCTGCTGGGCAGGCTTAGACGGTGGTGAGGATGATGTGCGATGGGAGATGGATGACGAGCATGCGGGCGCGTGCTCTGCGTCGATCATGCAGGGGCACTTGGATGCTGTCGGCTGGTCCTTGGACATTGACTCGGAGGAGGGACAGCAACTTCCCGCCCCACGTGAGATGGTGCGTTATTGACAACAACGAAGAGCTCTTGCAGGCAGACCTGGACATTGGGACTAAGGCGGGGGAGGGGAGGGAGGGACTTCCACGGCATGTGGGAGTAGGGCAGCTAGCCGGACCTCTACACCGATCACAACAGCGGGTCTTGGAGTCACAACACGAGCAGGAGGAGATGTAATGAACGCCTTGCCTCTAGTAGCACAGCGGCTACGGAGACCGAAGGCGCTTGGGGTCCCTTGAGGAGGGTCAGTAGATGGTGCAAGTAGATGTACTGGCAGTGCCGTAGACCAGCTTGATTGAACTACCGCTGCTCATCTCTTGTCAAGCTTCAGCTGGGGTTGAGGACTGAACTCAATTCTGACTCAACTTCGCAACGCCTGTTCACTTGCCCCCGGACTGAATCGGCCTTCCACTTGCTCCCCTGCTGCCCGGCCGGGGAGTTACTGGTTAGGCTGCTCATCTCTTGTCGAGATCGGCTCGTTTCCCTGCTTGAGCTTCTTGAGCTGGCCTGAGTGAGCCCGACAAGTCAGGCTGCCTCTTGTGTTGACCAGCCCTATCCACTATGTTCTTGGATCGAGATGGCAGTGAGACTGAAGGGGATCTCCCCCGCATGATGGGGGAGGCTGTTCCAATCATCGGGGCTGCGATGTCGTACTTCTCACTGAGCCAACTGACCCGGACTCAACCCAGTCTCGCACTCAACTAGAGCCAAGACTCATCGGGTGACTCTCAAGCTTCAGCTGGGGTTGAGGACTGAACTCGATTCTGACTCAACGTCTGTTCACTTGCCCCCGGACTGAACCCGCCTTCCACCTGCTCCCCTGCTGCCCGGCGGCAGGTTGTGCTGCCGGGGGGATACTGGTTAGGATCCGACCTAACCAGTGACTACTGGCCCTGAGGGCCCTGATCGGATCAGAATTCATTAAAAACTGGCTAATTGACACATGATGACCCAGAAACTATGTCGAAAAGATGTTATGGTCAATACCCATACACATGAAAAATGATCATCATACTATGTATCATTTGAGAATCGCTACCATCGGTATCATGTTTCATTGAACCAGAAAGGTCCATCTGAGCCAATGATTGCCCATGGAAGTGCCTCTTTCATTGCTGGTGAAAGGAATGAAAAGACCGTCCCCGTTCGATGGAACAAACAACATCAGTGCCGCAAAGCTTTCAGACGCGTGTTTGATGTTGATGAGAAACATACGACAGTCACAATTCAAGTAATCAGTTATTTGAGTATATATCATATCCGACCATAACTTAATATAGTCGGTTTATTGATGTGGTAGCAAACTGTCATCGATGTGGTACAAAATTACAAGATTTCAGACGTGTTCACTGTCTTCAGGGGTGGTGTATTTCATCTCGAGGGACGGGCGGTGCGAGGGTTGAAATGGAGTTGGTTCATCAAATGTTTCAAAACTCGCATTGTGTCTGGTGACATGAATGCTGCAATGAACATTCTGGACAGAGAAAGAGAGTTTCACGTGTAGTCATGGTCACTGAACTTGCGATGCTCTACATTTGTACGAACATTGGACGAGGAGGACTTGAAAACGAGTTTTCCGAATAACCCTTCTTCGATGTATCAAAAATTTTGATTTCTGAAATCTTCTTTCAAAATATTCATCGTTGTCGTTTAAAGGTTAATGAGGGAAAGTCAGCTCAGCTCTACTGCTCGTAGCCTCCCAGGGCCACGTACCCCTCCTTCATGCTCTCATACGCCTTCACCGCTCGCTCCGCCCGCTGCTGCTTCGCCGCCGCCCTCGCCGCCGCCTGCAACATGAGTGAGACAGTGAGACAGTGAGCGTCAAGAGAGGAAGAGGGGAGAGAGGGTGGGAGAAAGGAGCGGGGGGAGCTGGAGGGAGAAGAGTGAAGGGAGGAGGAAGGGAGAAGGGAGGAGGAGGCAGGGAAGGGAGATGGAAGAGGAGGAAGGGAAAAGGGGGTTGGGGAGGGAGGGGAAGGCGAAGAACCTTGTCGAGCGTTGGGTCGATGGAATCATCCTCGATCTCATCGCCTACAGCCAGGCCGAGTTTGCACCAGTTGACGCGACGCTCCTGCAAGAACAGTCAGAAGGAGGAGGGGAATGGTCATTGGGAACTAGACCCCGCTTCGTTTGGTGAACCTCTCCTCGCGCTCCTCTCCAAGCTCGTGCGAGGCTTGCAAGAGGAGCAGATCAAAGACTCAGTACGTGACGTGCTAGTGGAGGCTCAACAGCACGCCACGTCCAAACCGTCAAATCGCTTTTCGTGCTGGCGTTCCAGACTCGTTGGTGCAGGGGAGGAAAGGGAGAGCGCAAACTTTTCTTGATCATGATGCGAGTTCTGTACAAATATTTCCCCTCAGTGGTGCTCGAGCTTCTC